ATTTGATTTTATTTTCTCTGTAATAGAACTTAGTCTAAAATTACCTCTTTTTAGGTTCATTGCCTGCCTAAAAAATGTAAGCTCCGTGAGGGCGGGAATTTTGCTGGTCAAGTTGCTTCCGTTTCTCAAGTGATTAGAGCAGAGAAAGTGTTAAATAAAATGAATGAATGAATGAATGAATTAATGTCTCTCTGAATAAGTGCCTGGATGCAGTGTCTTCAGTGGGGCCAAGTCCACACTGAGTTTAAGATTCCAATCTAGATCCCCTTGGTAGTATAAGCACATCTGAATTGTCCCCCTATACCATTTACTGCCCTCCATCTCTTTCTATTCATTTCCTTTCAGTCTTATTAACACAAGTTTACCTCTTATTAGCTGTTTGCCCTTCAGCAAGCTATTTCACCTTTATAAACTTCAGTTTTCCTCCTTTGTAAAATGGTGTTGATAGTTCCTGCACTCACAGGGTGGTGGTGAGAGTTAGATAGAAAAGCTTATATAGCTTGCTTAGTACATGTGCCTTGTAAGGAACAAGCTCTACCTAAACTACTACTAGCTACTGAGGTGATTTTTGTCATCTTCACATTTCCCATTGTCATTCCCAACAGCTCCGGTCCTCCTCCCCGTGCCCCTCACGTCGACACACCAGGGGGCGCCACACGCCATTCTTCCACGCATCATTCCCGCTAGTGCAGGCAGCCAGCCCCGATTCCTCGAGCACCTCCTTTTTTCCTCTGATGATGCTCCACCGTGCTCTACCACCTCGTCGCTTCAAATATCACATGCGTATGTACCCAATACTTCATTTATTTCACATCTATTTATTGAGCGCCTACTCTATGCCTCGCTTTGTGGTAAGGGATGAAGTTACAAGGGGAAAGATTAAATTTACCTACGCTCTTCAAGGAGTGCGTAGTCTATAGAAGGATGACAGAGGGGACAAGAGGCAAAGGAACTTCTGACATAGACATGAGGGGTAGGAAAGCCAAGACCAGATTGTCCTTTGAATCCCGTGTTCTTGACTGGAAAATGGAAGGGAGTTCCCCCTTAATAGTCCCTCATTCCATATGGTAATTTTCTTCTTTCAGTGCTAGGGATGAACTCAGGCAAGCACTCCACCACTGACCTATACCTCCCTTCTCACCCCAAATACATTACATTACATGCTCCTACAACTCACCTGAATTTCTGAGCTCAGCTCTATCGTAGTGCCCAGACTCTAGTCCACATACCTCAGTTCCTGTACCCAGCACTTCAGTCCTCACCTCAAATAGCTTCAGCCCCTCATTCCAAAATCTCAGTCCCCTTTGCCCAAGTCTTCAGGAACCCAGCCCCCCACCTCAAATACCTCAATTCCTCCTTTAAGAAATCCCAGTCATTGATTTAATCTGTGGTTCTTAGTCTTTTTTTTTTTTTTTCAGCTCTCAGGAGGATGGGGAAGCACTTCCACCAAGGACAGTGACTTGGTTGGGGGTAGTTCTCACTGGGGAGGGAGCCAATGTGGTTTTCTGTGCATGGTTATGATTTGAAAAAGTCCATTGGCTCTTGTAATGTGATTTAAGGGAAGAGAGATGCATCCCTCACTCGTGGTTTTAGGATTGCTTATTTAAATGTTTTCATTTGTCCAGCCCATGCTTTCCTATCCCCATTATCCTATCTTTTCTCCAGGTTCAAATGCTTTACCGCTAAAAATTCTCTTAGAATTCCTTGGAGAGAGCTCATGACCTCATCACTCTTATTTCTCCAAAATTAGTCAGAGAATCTTAGAATTGGAAGGGCTCTCAGAAGCACTAATCCAGTAAATTTCTAGCTTCTTTTTAGTTAGAGAATCTTACTTGCAATGAAATCTTATATAGAACCTCAATATATATGTTGGTTAGTGGCTGGACAATGACCCTGTAAGCTGTAGAATTCTGTGTGGCCTGAAAACCCCTCAGGGGCACAAGACTGAATTAATTCCCTTAGAAATGATTTTACAACATTTCCCCAAAAGTGTTTCCAAGGACATCCTCCTCCTTGTATTTAAAGAAATACTTCACTTCCAGCTGCTCCATCTTCCATAGATCTGAAGAGTAAGTACCTAAACTCATATTCCAGTATTAGGGAGGGAAGTTCTCATTGGGAAAGGGGGACAATAGTGTAATTTTCATTGGCTTCAAAAAGAAAGATGAGAATGAGGGAGGGGTTTTACCCAGTAGGGTACTTCTGGTGGTTATGAGGACATTGATTTCATGTGTTACTCCCTGTTCCTGGAGCTCTGGGTACTGCCTGAGTGCTGGCGCTGCCCAGGGGACCGACTGCTCCCGGAACAGCTCAGTCTGTGGACCCCATGAGGTTGCCATAGATACTGATGTGCAGGGAGCTGGTGAGCTCTTATTATTTGTATGTATCTTCCCTCTGCTGTGGGGTAGCTGGAGGTTGTGTGGGTGCTACAGCAATGGGGATCAAGGAGAGTGTGTGGGAGGGCGTGTGTTTGTGTGTATATGCAGAAGTGTCTATAGGCTCCACATGGACACGTCAGATTCTGTGTTGTTGAGAAAAGTAGTGAGGGAGGGTGGGAGAAGTGAGGTAGATAGAAAGTAAAAAGAAGAGAATGGATCCTTCTAATTGTGTGAATTCTAAATTTCCACTTTATTTGATGTTTCACAAGTAAAAGGCACTGCCGAGCACATAGTAGGCAGTTGATGAACACTTGATGAAGGGCAGCTAGCTCCATTTACACAGTAATGTGAGTCATTTTCAAGTTTCACCTCAATATTTTTTCATCATTCTTCCTTTTACCCAGAGACTCAAGGCAAAGTGCTTTATATGGTTACCTTTAAACACCCTGTGTAGAGACCTCACCCTCAGCCAGGATGATAAATCTCCCTTGGCAGGCACATGAGACTGGTTAGGGTTATAGTGCTGTTTTCACATTTTCCCCTGAGAGACCCCACAGTCCTAGTTTGTGTTTGTTCTGACCTCTCTTCATCTCCACATTCCACTTTACATTAATGAATATAAAATCTCATGTATCATCCTTTGGAGGTCAGGAACCAAGTCACCTTGAGCACTCAGGAAGGGCACATTGATGATCAACTGACACAGCGTCTCCATTTCTGGAGCACAGGCAAGTAGTCACTTCTGCCTTGAGAAGAGATGACAGAAACTCAAGACTTAACTGGCATTCCCACATTTATAAGCTCATTGTTACCCATTCTGGGACCTGGGACCTAGCTCTCACCCTTGGTGCTTTGAAGTAGGAAGTGGCCTTAACCTCTACTGCTTTACTTCCTGTTGCCCTGGGGAGGGGTGGGGCATAGCACTCCTGTCACCTCTACCCTTTCCTAGGTCCTCTCTGCCAATACTTCTCCAGGGTTCCACTTCCTCCTGTTCCCTAATCATCTCCACTGGGCAGTCTGGTTCTCAGAGCTGCCAGCAGTGCTACTAGGTAAGGAAAGGAAGGGAGACCTCCCTGAGAGCTTTGCTCCTCCCACCCCTCAGGGAGGTGGCTTGAGAGGCTGAGGCCTTTTGGGCTCTCTGCTGCCTACCCTGGCAGCTCCAGCTAGCTGACAATGGAGGCCCAGCTCCCAGTGGGCATCCTGCTGTAATCAAGTCTCAGCAGCAGCAGTTGACTGAGTTCCACCCTGCCCAGTTAGGGTCGGTCCCTGACTTGGGGTATAGCTGCCAGGGCAAGTTGGGAATCTGCCCAGCCTGTTTCTCTTCCATTGATACAGTTATGGGCCACCAACCTGTGACGTTGGGGACCTAGGAAAAGGTGGTAACTCCTTCCGCCATTCCACGAATATTTAATGAGGGTCTGGGACTGAGGATACAATGGTGAATAAAGGAGGCAGAGGCCATGCCCCACTGGAGAACACAATTTGGTGGAAAGGCAAATATTAAACAAATGATAACAGCAAATACAGTTTAATTAAGTACCAAGTACTATTCTAAGTGCTGTATGTGATCTAGCCTATTAAATATTCACAATCTTGTGAAGTAGATATTATTATTCCAAATTCTCAGATAAGGGACAGAATGATTATGTGACTTACCCAAGATCAGTAAGCTGCTCAGAAATCAGGTTAGGCAGTCTGATCCAAAGTTCACTCTACTGTGCTCTAACTCTCATACCAGAAAATATATCGCTACAAAATATATTTATTTTATAGCACTATAAAATAAAAGTTCAGGATGCCCTACAAGAAAATGGGGATGCTTTCCCCTTGCTTCCACTTGCTCTTTTAGCCACCAACGGACAAAGCATTAAATCATTCCCCTCTTCATTACTGGCCTAGAGAAAGCATTCATCTCTAAAGGTGGAGTGGAGGAAGTCAGAATTCCACCTGTATCCTTGCCCCTGGCCTCATCTTTCTGATCAGAACTTAAAGGATTTTTGTTGTTGTTGTTTTCTTTTGCTTATAATAGTTTTGATGCTTGCATAAGTCTAAACTGTCAGCTTCTTGAGGGAAGGCTACTGGAGGCTGGCTACGCACTGAATGGGGGCTTCTTGACCTTGACCCTCTCTCCACTAGATAGGGGCTTGGGACCCACGTGTAGGCCTATTCCTGAGGGCTCGGTGGTCTGGACTCTTACACCACTGCTAACCCACGTTCGCACTCCAACTCTTGCAGGATCATCCCGGGACGTGCCCACAGTTCTCGAGCCTTTTAGCTCTGCCCGCCAGAATGGGAGGTCCGGAGCTGCGACCCTTACTTTCACAGCTCTCAGGCGCACAGGGCCCAGCCTGGGCGGCTCCCGGGGCAGGGCGGGGCCGGTGGTGGGAGGCCCCTCCCCGGGGGAGGGCCGGGGGCCGGGAGTGGGGGGGGCCGGCGGGGCTGGGGGCGGGGCGGGGCGGGGCGGGCGGGCGCGGGGGTGTCCCTCCCTCCCTCGCTCTCCCCGGTAAAGTCTCGCGGTGCTGCCGGGCTCAGCCCCGTCTCCTCCTCTTGCTCCCTCGGCCGGGCGGCGGTGACTGTGCACCGACGTCGGAGCGGGCTGCACCGCCGCGTCCGCCCGCCCGCCCGCCCGCCCGCCAGCATGGCCACCACAGCCACCTGCACCCGCTTCACCGACGACTACCAGCTCTTCGAGGAGCTCGGCAAGTACGGCCCTCCCGACTCCTGCTGCGGCCCCAACCCTCCTCCTGCCGCCTGGGAGCTATGCGGTTCCTCGCCCCGCCCCCCGGCCCTGCACCGGCCGCTGCAGCGCCCCCTCGATCCGCCCCACCCCCAGCCTTTCCCGCGTGCTGCCTTTAGGGCCCCCTCGCCTCCCATTCCTTGCCCGGCAGCCCCTTCCGCACCCTGCAGCAGCTGCCGGGGCTGCTGCACCTCTCGCTGCCGCGGGGACTGCAGCCCCCGAACTGCTCTGGGCGCCTTCCAGCCCCGCCCCTCCCTCATCCTTCAGGCGCTCTCCCCCAAGGCCCAGCTTGCTCACCGCCCCCTCCCCACCCTGCTCCCGAGCTCACTCTGCACCCTGTCCCTAGGTCCCATGCGCCTGGCACTCAGGACCCTCCCCAGCCCTGCAGCTCCAACCCCGCTGCGGTGCCCCGGTGTGGGGGGGGATGTTCGGTGCCCGGCCCCGCCCCCCGCTAGTGCCGCTTCCAGGATCCCAGCTCCGCTGCTGGACAGTGCTGCAACACCCCCGGCCCCTCCCCCCATCCCTGCAGTGGTCCCGGGAGCCGCGCGCCGCAGCGCAGCATCCCCCTCCCCTCTGCACTGAGCTGGCCGCCGCCGCCGCAGCCCTGGCCTCCCCCCCCCCCCCCCCCCCCCCCCCCCCGTCCAAGCGCTGCCGAGCCTGGCCTCTGCAGCCCCCGCCCTGCCCACCCTCTACACGTTTCCAGAGCCCTGGAGTGCAAGCTCCCATTTGTCCCGGCACGTAGAGGAAAATATGGGGAAGGGGAGCTTTTGATGTCAGACTCAACGACTGTGTCCTCTCTTTCCCTGCTGTCAGTTGAGCCTGGGATGCAGTGGGATGAAGCAGGTTGGGGTTGGGGGGCGGTGAGGCTCACTTTCCCCCATGGTCGAGGGAAATTTCTCTTTCAAGGAATCAAACCTTCCTTTTAATCTGTCCTTCTCCTACCCTCAACTATTCTTGCTGACAGAAGGGCAGGGTCTCCCTGTTCTCTCTCCTCTTCTTTTGGCCAGTACTGCAGGGCTATCAGTGAGATGCAGCAGGTGTGTGTTTGAAGCATCACCCACCAGCTCCTGATGTACAGCCTGAGATTAGGGCTGTTGATTTGCCCAGGGACTAGATGAGGAGGTGGGAACCAGGTGGTACTCCACCCACATCTGTTCAGTGTCATGGCAAGGCCTCATCCTTCTGCCTCATGTTAGCTGGTGGTGGTCACTGCGCTGGTGTGTGAGTGTGACTGAAAATCTGGTGGTGGGAGCATCACTGTCCTCAAACCTGAAGTGTGTCTGTGTTACTCTGCCCTGCTCGGAGTCCCAGTTCTTTCCTCCTTCTCCCTCCAGGGGTGCTTTCTCTGTGGTCCGCAGGTGTGTGAAGAAAACCTCCACACAGGAATATGCAGCAAAAATCATCAATACCAAGAAGTTGTCAGCCCGAGGTGAGTGTTCCCTATCTTGGGTTCTCCCAGGGGAATCCCTCTAGAGACATGACTTCTGCAGATGCTGTAGGATTTAGGAGCAGAGTACATGTTTTAGCACTTGGAGATGAGTTGGAATTTCAGGGTGGGTGGACTTTGAAGCCAGGCAAGGAGTTATGTGGGGGTCTGGAAGCACTCAAAGAGAAAAGAATCAAGAGCATATAAGAGATGTGGGTAGCTGGAGTAGTACCTGAAAGTCCAAGGGAGTTAGTTTCTAGGGAGGTGGAGGATCTAGAGTGGTAGGTGGAATGGAATGGAGAGCTCTTCATTTGGGGCACTCTCTCCTTGGGGCATTGGTGGCCCCTGCAAGCCTGTCCTAGTCCCTGTGCCCTAGTGATAATTTAGGATAAAAATGCAGTAAGTGAGCAGCTCTGACGAATTCAGCCTCCCCTGCCCACCAGGCGGCAGAACAGACTCCCAAGGGAAGGAAATCTGTAAATACCAGGGGAGGATGCTACTGACAGGGCTTCTCGGGAACAAATCCTGCCAGATGAACTTGATTGCTTTTTTTTGATCAAATTACAAAGTTGTGGTGCAGTAGCAGATGTAGTCTGTCCTGGGTGGAGGAGGGTGATGATGCCTCATGGTCTGGAAATCCCAATGGCCTGGTCTGGGCAGGTGCTGCATTTCCTCAGAGTATGAGGCGCATGAAGGTCCAGGCCTTGGAGCCTCAATTGTGTGATTCTCCTGAAAATACCTGCCTACCTGAGGCTGGTAGGGCCAGAGCCTACGTTTAACACCTTGAACATACACTCTCTGAACCTAGTATTGGTCGCTTGCCAAGCTTACCTCATCTGACAGGTCTAGACCCAGCAATATGTGAAGTGCTCAGTGAATAGGACTGGGTAGAGGTCAGGTCCTGGAGCCCAGGGACAAAGGTTATGATACTCAGAGGAGGGAATTAGAGCTGGTCAATAGAATGCTGTAAATATATTAGGAGCCAGGACAGATGCTCTGGGGAAGAGTGGGCTTTGGCCAGTATGATGGGGGCATCTCTGGGGCAAGAGATGTAATAGATGTCCCAAGCATTCAGACAAGCTATAAAACTCCACACCGATGACAGTGGGCTTCTGTCGTGTTGCCAGTTGATCTGGGACCTGTTTTGCAGGTCTGTATGTCTCTCTGGCCTGGAAGTCTGTCCCTATCAACAGGGCTTGTTTTGCTGTCTCCCACCCAAACCCCTGTCTCTCGCTGTTCATGTACATTGGCTATAAAGTTGGCTTGTTTATTTTCATTTTCTCTGAGTAACTTTGAGTCCAAGGCGATGGTTGTCATAGAGATATGTGGGTGGTCAGATGCCCTTCTCCCCTGGGGTGGGGGGAGAACAACAGTGACTGGGCTCTGGCAGACATCCTTTGGCTAATAATGGAAGGTGCAGGCAGGAACACTGGGTTGAGAATGGGTACCTTCCTGTGCCCACACACATAGCTCTAGTGCATTATAAATGGGGCCGATGTCTGTCATCTCCAATTGATGAGGTAGTGCTTTGCTTTTCTCATCTTACCAGTGTCCTCTGACCCAGAGATGGGGAGGGGGGGATGGAGAGCTGGAAGCCAAAAACCAGGAATGTGAAGATGGCTGGTGTGGTGACTTTGTGGAGCTACCTGCTATAGGCTTTCATTTTCTACTCCTTCTCTACCCACCTGAACTTTTCTGCACTGTGTTCCTTTCTCTTCTTCATCTTCTTTCCATTTTGTCCTGTCTTTTTCAACTGGTTTCTTGGTATCTTTCTTTCCCTGTCCAAACTGGATGAGGTTTAATTTCTCTGAATATTTTTTCCAACTCAGGAAGAGGTTTCTTGTGTAAACTCATATGCTTCAGACAGCAACTCCCCCTCTTGAGAAATGGATATGCCAAAATTGGGGCTCTGTTGTCTGGCTTATGTGCCAGGTAAACTTTGGGACAGAGGCTTGGTCCTGGCAGGTAGGCTCAAATGCCAAAAGAGGGTCAGGAATGTGTAGGTACCAGTACTGTTGGGAGGTGGGAAAGTGGGAGGATGTTGTCTTGGAGATGGAGGGAGCAAGAGGATGCTAGGCTGCAGGTCGAGGCATGGGGGATGTGAGCTCCTGGAGAGGACTGGATCAAGGGCCCCACTAGCCCAGTGCCTGTGGGGTTAGGAAGTAAAGGCTGTGGCTTCCCAGCAGGCTCTCAGTTTACACTGTATATTTTATAAAGGTGTAGCGACTGGGACTGGGTTTCACTCATCGCTGTCTGTTTGGCTAGGGGTTCACAGATGTTAGAATTCTGTGTCTGGGAATGTAGTGGGCCCACCAGGGTCACCTATAAAGGTCTGAAGGGGCTTGCTGTGTTTACTGGGACTCCCTGTCATCTTGTTTTCTTGTTTGTGATTCTTTCTGTTGCAAACTGAAAGGAAAGAAAGAGGGTATAGAGATACTTCTTGGCATCCTTGGGAAGGTGGCCCAGGAGGCCTGTGGAGAGATCTCTTAATCTTCTTGGGGACGGGGAGGGTCAGATCTGGATAGGAAGCCACCTTGTGGACCATTGTTTCTTGTCATTACGGCCTCTGAGACTTACTTTGATGCCTGGGTTGTCAGGTAAGGAGTTCATGCAGAAGTGCATTGAGCACTGTGTTTTTCTGCGGCCTACCTACATTGTCACTGGAAGTCACATAACGTCACTCTGTTTGCTTCAGTACAGTGCTAGGTGTGGAGTTGGGGCTCTTACAAGAGCTGGTGGTTCTCAACTTAGCTCTGCTAGGCTGAAGGAGGCATTTAAAATAGGCTTGATGCAGGCTTTAGTGGGCCAGGTGATGGCAATGATAAGTTGTTATTTTAAGATTTAAGAGCACCCCTCCAAGGAGCCTGAGCCCTTATGTCTTTTTTTATTTTTAAATCTTCATATTCCCTTCTTATCTTTATTCATATGCATACAGATTTTCACCTCGTGGAGCATAACATTTTATATCCTGTTCTCTTTGCTTGTATCCAAAGTATTTTCCCCACATTGCTGTAGTTGAAGGGCAAATGGTTCTTTCTGCCTTCTACAAAGCTTAGGATTTATCCTTGGGACAATTAGCATCATAAGAAATCTCTGTATTTGAACTGTTTATCTGGATTCCAGTTCCTTTTACTAAGATGGGTACTGGAGAAATGCCCTTGGCCTTACTGAGAGATGCTACCAGAAATAGTGTTATGAAATCTGTTACAGCACCTGCTATATTTATTTATTTAATCTGTATACCCCGTGTGAAAAAATTTCCATTGAAGCTATGTGTAAGAAAAGCCTTCCTCTTTGTGGGAACTTGGGAGATGATGGAAGGAACCTTATCTATTTCTTTAGTTTTGCGTAGGCAGGCCCTAGTAAAGTACCTGATACATATCGAGCACATACACGTTAAATGAATGGAGTAGGAAGACCACATAACTAGTCGTGGTCACCTTTTGGCTTTGGTTTTAGCTCCTGGGAAATTCAGAGTAAAGTTGCTGGAACCCTTGTACCCAGGTGCTGGCTTGGGTTCCCCCTTTCTGATCCAGGGAACTAGGCTGCTGGAGGAGAGGACAGATGAGGGTAAAAACTTGTGCTTGGGGCACAGGCAATGTAGCTTATGATTCTCCCTTCCTTGCTGATAATGGCCTTATAGGACTCCTGCTGGGGCTTCCTCTAAGCAGTAATTTTCAAATTTAGTGTGTGTAAGGCTCACCTTGAGTACTGGTTAAAAATGCAGCTTCCTTGGTTCTATCCACAGATACTCTGCTTTAGGGGCCTCAGAATCTGCATTTTTAACATGTGCTTCAACAAATTTCATGCAGGTAGTCCATGAGCCATCTTTAAGAAATGCTATCTAAAATCAGCAGCAGTGGCAGTAATAGTTGCTCTTTCCACACTCCTGGGATTCACCAGACACACTTTGGCCCAGCCTTCCCCAGGTGGTGTCTCTGCTGGTATGTGGCCATCTGTGCATATTAGCTGTTTTGTAGTTAGGGGCCTCCTTCTGAGCTCCAGATTGGGGTGTCAGTGTATCTAAGGCTGTGGCAAGCTGAGTGGCTGGTGTTGTGGCAGGTTGGCCACAAGAAGGGCAAAGACTGTCCCTTTCTGAGTCCAGCTGGCCCTGGAGACTGAAATGGGATCTCCCTTGGATGGTGCCAGGTGAAAGTCCCCACCCCTTTGGTGTTGGCCTGAGTAGCCCCCATGACATTTGTGTCCCCTGCAGTATCTCTAAGTGAGACTTTCCTGTTAAGTAGATGGGTGAAGTCAGGGGAAGAGAAAAGAGGGTGAGGTGGCAGTGGAAAGAGTGGAGCAGGAGGAGGCTCTGTGCTGCAATGGAATGCTGGGACTCCAGGAAGCATTTAAGGAGGTTGTATGCCAACCCTTGTTTTTCTCTTAATGATAAAACAGGCCAGTATCTGGTAATAGAAATGGCATCCTACATTTAAGCGATTGTACTCCTTAGTCTTCTCTCTGCAGTAGATAAGGGAGCAGGCTGGAGGTCTCTCCTGCCAAGGCTTTTGCTGGGCCACTTTCATCATACACTCATGATGTGAGTTGTAAGACTTAGTCACACAACACTGACCTGTCACCCTGCCCTTCCACCCACATTCCAGAGGGACTTGAGGCACTGCATCAAGAGTGGGATGGAGGTTGGAAGGTGGCCTTGTCTCATAGGAGAGCCCTTGCTTTTCTTCCTGCTGCTTATTCTCATCCCTTGTCATCATACCCTTGTCAGAAGCTATACTGAAATCCTAGAGGTGAGTGGCTGACCCCATTCTCTGCTGAGACTGGAGACAGGGCAGGGGAGGGCAGTGTGTAAGCAGCTCCTGCCCCTTCTCTGTGCTTGCTTCTCTCTGAACAGCTTTGGCAAGTGGACAAGGGCTGGTCCCATGGGTATCAAAAGGGTGGTGACAGGAAGAGATGGGTACTTTGCACTTCTTGAGTACCTCTCTGCAGAGGCCCTTTGTCACCTGCCCATGACCAGAAAGATCTGTTCCAGGTCATTGGGGAAA